GCAGTTACATACACAGCATCAAAGGGATTTATTAGATATGTCTTATGAGGGAGTTTTTCATCATTGCCATTAAACAACTCTGCAATTACTTTGGAACTAGAGTACGCTGTACCATCTGTGATATTTGAGATAATGATATGATTTACTTTAAATGGCTGTTCTGGTTAATTATAAACAAGTAGAGCATACCCAATGGAAAACATGAGATTGTTTGAAAGCAAAAAGATAAATAAACAAATCTCTGCAGACGGGCTCTGTGGACAACTCACAACCCACTGAGGGAAAAGCTTCATTGCTCATATGTTTAATGAGCTTTTATTGTGAAATCAGCTGCTACAAAGTTTAGAGGACTTTGAAACTTTTTTTTTTTTTTCTTGCGTCATCATCATCATCACATTCAAGGAAAAATGTGTCTTTAAAACATTAACAGCATTTTCATTTCTCTGCTTTCATCAAATAAATCCATGTTTCCATATTCTGTAACTCAGCTGAACAAATTAGAAATGATCACTGATACTTATTAATAGAATTATTGTTAGAAACACTTTATATATTTCCAGGTTTTAGTGTCCAAATAAAAGAAAAAGAAGAAGTTGCAGCAGTAACTGTTACTGTTATTTTCCAAGTTTTATGATTTCACAACTTTACTTGTTGATGTTTTGCTTGTGACAGATTTAGTTTAAAACAAACATGTTTTTCATGCCAGTCTATAGAGACAATGTGCTGAAGGTCACTGTCAATAATGATGCTCTGTGACTGAAAGCAATTACTGATCCCTGTGGAGCTGCTCTTTAAACAGCTGATGGACGCCCATGAGGACTTGGCTTTGTTCCTCTGTGTCTCGCTCCCTTTGTGCAACTTAAAAAAACAAATAAACAACTTTTGCCAGAGTTTCCATGAGGCTACCACAAACATGAAAACTTTATTCTTGGAGACAGGAGAGCATAAGGATGACATTTTCACTCTCAGAAAGTATCAAATTTTCTGTATATGATTTGCTTTTCAACAAAAGCCTAGTTATCCTAATAGCTCCTTAACCCTCCGGTTGTGTTCACCCCCACCCCCTTACTCACCCCTTACTTTAGTGTTGCCAGTCAAAATTGACCGGCCAGTTTTAACAACTCAGGCATTTTTTCATCACCAAATTCAGTTTTGTGGGTGGGTCAATGAGTCGTTCAGTGGTCATTCTGGGGACATTCAGCGGGTCAGAGGCCAAAGGGGGTGGGGGGTGGATTCCCATTCATTTTCTATGGCGGGACTGGGAACACCACAGATGTAACAAAGCTGATTAAAACACTCAAAATTCAACGAAGGAGGTGCTCATCACTTTCATATGTTCAAGTGCACAGTGTGGAGGATGACCTAAGGCCTCGAGGCAATCAGATGTAAAACACAATATTTATGAGTTTTTTAATTTTGACCCAAACACGACAGGAAGGTTAATGGAAGTTACTGGGTAGATGATTGCTGAGCTTGCTGGAGGTGCAGGTGACTGGGACCTGCGGTGGAAGTGCCTGATGATGGAGGTCGAGCAGGTCTTCCCATTGGGGCTCCAGCACCCTTCGCTAGTCCAAGAGGCACTTAAAGCATGGTGATAAGGTGCACATTGTTGGAGGCAGGTTGGGTGTGTGCATGGTGACATTCACAAATGTCCCATCGTGCCACTCTCAATTAAATGGTAAATGGCCTGCATTTGTATAGCGCTTTTCTAGTCCCTAAGGACCCCAAAGCGCTTTACACTACATTCAGTCATTCACACATTCACACACTGGTGATGGCAGCTACATTGTAGCCACAGCTGCCCTGGGGCGCACTGACAGCGGCGAGGCTGCCAGCCCTCTGACCACCACCAGTAGGCAAATATGGGGTTAGTATCTTGCCCAAGGATATTTGGCATGCAGCCAGGAGGCAGCCTGGGATCGAACCACCGACCTTCTGATTAGTGGCTGACTTGCTCTGCCACCTGAGCTACAGCTCTAAATCTAAGGACAAAACACATAGAATAAAGACTACAGTTGTGCCTGAACCATCCCTTAATTCTGGGGCAAGATTGGGTAATGTGTGGGGATGCATTCAGAACGATAAATTAACAACAGGGGAACTAGAGGCACAACAATGAGACAACCTGTAATACAGGAATGGTGTTACAGGTGGAGGCCACTGACATTTTCCTTCTGCGCCTTTTCTGACTGTTTCTTCATTAGGGTCAGGGTCCGTGCTGATAGCATGAGGCGACGCCTGGACCCCGCAGAGGTTGCTTAGTTAGTCCACCTCCTTCAGGACGACACATCAGTATGTACCATCACCAGAGGTTTGTGTGTTTCTCATTCACTGCATGCTCTGGTCTACAAACACGTGGGGCTCCGTACACACTACTGAGTCCCATTTTAACTTGTTGCAGTGAAATTTAGGTAAACTTGATAATCTGCAACATTTTTTACTTAGGGCTGAATTCAACAACCAAAAATCTGTGTCAGTTGACAATTTCGATTTCCATCAAATGATGGGGCATCCTTTCAGTCCTAACACGTTACCCAGTCCATATCAGTGTGGATATCCAGTATGATCGTTTTTCCCACCTGATGTGTTTTCAAAGGCTTCCTGTAACTCTTTTGAACAGTGTATTAAAGGCCTAAAGATCCGTCAATGTTGTTTCCAGTTTGCTGCTTCAGTGCACGCAAGCTTTATTATTTGTCACATACAACATCACACAATACAGTACAATGTGTAGTGAAATGATCTGTGTCTGTGCTGAGGACAGGCTGCAGACAAAGCCGCACCATTCCAGGGCTCTTTGGTTAGCATGAGGGGTCTAGCCAGGACCCTTACTGGATACTGGGTGGGAATCAAACTTGCAACTCCTGCTCCAAAGACGTGTAGTCTCACCACTACCCTATCCAGCTGCAAGGGGTAAAAGATAGATGCCTGGGCCATCCCAATCTGTATCATCCCAGATTTGCTTTTATTCACTTACATAAACCTTAGAAAGGAACAGGAGGTGGGAAATGTAACCAAATAAAAACCGTCTGTGGGGATGACTGCAATCCAAATGAACAGCTGTTCCTCACATATTTAGACGTCTTTTCAGTCACTTAAACTGCAGCACAGATTTCTTCTCTTTGTTTTCTAGTAAAGAACCAACAACACAGTAAACCATACTATTTGTCTGATAACGGCCTCAGAAATGCTCCAGTAAGCACCAACACCACAAACATACTTTAGAGGTGTCGTTTAATTGCAGTGGTTAGATCCACCAGCTGGGCATTGCAGCATGAGAGCATCTAGAGAGCACAGATGTACATAAGAAACAAGAGCATAAAAACCTTTGCAGGATGTTTACAGAGTTCATGACACCATCAGATAAATGAAAGTTCACTCCTTTATTGTCGTCTGTGCTGTAATACAGAGACTCCTTGGAAAAATACAAAAAATGTAAACCTGTTATAAAATATACAAAAAATACAGGGATTCAAATACAAAGGGGTATAAATTTGTGGCAGTCGTTTATATATTATAAGACACAGACATTCAACACAATCTTCAGGTGGTTCATTTACAGAGTGACTTTATGACTGTGATTCAGCTTTTTTAATATTCCTTTAGGGTGACCTTTGACCTTCATAGTAAATTTCTGTGCACTGATTCGCTCACATTTACTTTAATCGACCACAGCCTCGGTGAATAGTGATATTTAAACATCTAAAATTCCCTTTTTTAAAAACTACCCCTCAGTTTTCTCTTCACCACTTTTAACCATTTAGGCCTAAGATAAAAATCTACCGTCTACATGCAAGCACGTAATGACCCGAAAGACTTTAATATTCAGAGTGGTAATAGCACTTCATTACTTTTTGTCATTCTGCTGCTGATTAAAATAAAACAAACTGTAATAAACACGTCATATTTAACAAACCATACAAAAGAGATCAAAGTATAAATAAAGCTGTAAGAACAGGCGAATGATGGGTGGCGATGAATGAACACTGTGTGTGAGAAAATTATGCTGATATTTACTACATACAGTAAACTCGTTTTTTTGACCATGAACTCATCATGTGAGGGTTAACTAAGGTCATAGATCAAGTGAGGCGTAGATTTAAGGCAATTCTCCATTAGCTTCACTTTTCAAACTGTGTCATGGCAGAGGTAACAGATGTCATGGGGAACCTGAAATATCAAATCCATGTGTTTTATGACCCTTTGTCGTATAAGAGCACCTTTACTTGGTAAAATGTCGTAGAGTGGAGACACTTTTGTCCGTTGAGGCTGA